CAACCTTTATTCATACAGGTTGTTAGTTTCATTGAGCCTCGAGTACTCATTTACAAGAAAGATATGTTTTTAATCAATTTAATCAATTTAATAAAATGTTTACAAATGTATGTAAACATAGATGTTTAACAACCTGTTAAAATACACCAAAATGCATGAAATGGCATCTCTTTTATTCCAAATTTTCTGGCGGAGGACCCACAGACCCCCTGTAACCCCCTCCCGCCGTAACAGGGTCTGCTTCTCAGCGGGTGCGTCACAGTGAGGAAAATCAATTTTAAACGTGAACGGGTCGATGGTGAACTGGGGGCTTAGCCTTAGCCTTAGCACTATCACTCTGGACAGTCACCCAGCCAGCCTGGGGTCCTGGCTGCTTGTGGTCTGCTGGACGGGAGCTAGTCTCAGTGGCTTCATGCTGTCTATGGAGACCTGGCTAGCGAATAGTTTTTCGCTAGTGCTGAGTCGAGCTTCAAATTCAGACAGCCTCTCCTCCAAAGCCACTATAAGACAGCATTTATTACAAGTACTGTTATCGGTCAATGAGGCAGAGGAATAGCTCAATATCTGACACACAGATCAAGCGAGAACAGAGAAAGCTGAGAGAACCAGAAGCCATGCTAAGCTAACGCTAGCAAGAGCTAGCAGATTTCAAATATATTGATAAAAAATGAGAAGTGTTGAAAGACAAAAAGTGTCTCAAGCACAATCCAACAGTAGAAAACATGAGTGTTTCTGTATTAGAATGTAGAAACAATTATGAGCACGACGACGACATTCCAGTAAAACAAAAGATTTCTCAAGCAAACAATTTACTCCAGCTACCCAGCAAAGAAAACTGGAAGTGACAGTATGCCTTACCACAAAAATATCTGATGAGAACTATCTTTGATTTTCTTTTGAAATCTTTTGTGCGTACTTCTTGTATAAAGCTTGATCTAGATGGACAAATTGATCAAGCAGTGAGTTTATCACTGAGAGTTGTGCAGCTTCCAATGGAGCCACATTGATCAGAGATTTGTTTCTCGGCCATTGTGAGTGTTTCGAGATAACTTAGGAGTACTTAAAGTGTTATTCACAGTGAAAGAAAGTAACCCTTTGGTTATCAATTAAAAGTGATTAAAATGTAGAAAAACTAAACAAGTTAACAATTATTATGTTTAAAGTACTGTATATTATGAATGATTAATGTCGTGGCATTAACAATTATGAAAGATAAATTTTGAAGCAAGCTGGGCAAAGAGTCTCTGACTTATTTATATACCAGGACCCGAAAGGGTAAAAATTATCTATAAAATAGTTTTTAAAAATTGCAGTTATAAAGAGATGTTCTTGACAAATATTTAATTTGTGAAAAGCTAGTGATTTGATTGATTCTAGGATCTGTAGATCAAACCTAGCGCACACAATGAGTTTTTAGGATTTTCTTTGCTCTATTGCTCTCTGTGATGACAATTTTTGAGATCTTTTTTTTTTTATCAGTGCTGAAAACTTTTCTGAAAAGTAATTTTGATACTGACCTAAGCTTATAGCTTTGTATTTCAAAACAGAGACAGTTTGACACAATTTGTTATCTTTATTTTTATTAATTTTGCACAAAAGTTCTGATCCTGTGATCAGATTCTGTATGCAAGTGTAGTCACTTGTTTTGACCACTATTTGGCTATAGCACCCTTTCCAGGGATTAATGTTGTTCGATACCAGGATTTCCCTTCAGAGACTGATACTGAGTAAAATTCAGGTTAGTATCGGCGATTCCAATACCAATACTTTGTGACTAGACTTCTTGGTTTGTTGCTTTCATAAATCTCCCCCTACATGTCACTACGTGAGTGCAGTTACAGCGTGCACTCTCAGGACATTATTACATGCCCTGTTCCTTCAGTGCAGACTGAACTAGGCAAAACGGCCTTCTCCTACTCTGCTCCTATATCCTGGAACACCTTCCAAAAAGATCTGAAGTTCTCGACCTTGACCTTTCTGAGTGGCTTCAAACAACTGCTAAGTTCATGGCAAAAACCAATGCAGGCATGTTCCTGTTTTTAGTATTTTATTTCGCTTTATAATGTAGCTGGTTTTTTTTAACATAATTTTTTTCCTTTTTTTTTCAATTTATATGCCTCCTTTTAAGATTGTCTGCTGTTCTCATTGTCTATTGTTGCCATTATTCTTTGTTAAAAACAGATTTCTCTTGTAAATATGTCCTCGAGGCTCAATGAGACTATCCTGTATAAATAAAGTTTGAATTAAATTGTGCAAATACACCTAATGTGTCTGGTAAACAAAAAAACAAAAAAAACACAAAAAGAAAAAAAAAAGCTCTGTATAGTATTGCAAATCAAAGCTGCATAAAGAATACAAGACATCAAAATAATTTTATTTATTTTAAACTCGAGTATATTGAGGTAGTGGCCTCATTTACAATATAGCTGAGCTTGTCCAACAACAGAAAATAACAGAGGCCACAATCATACAAAATATATGAAAATGGTGTTTCAAACACTTAAAAAGAAGAAATTGAGGAAAAGCATAAAACTATTAAAATAAATTATTAAATATCTATTAATTAATCATAGATGTTTTAAGATGTTGTTTTACAAAGTATTATCCATGTTTTCTAGTAGCCTATATATTTTAGAGAGTTCACCAAGGCTGTTTTATTGCCACTGCTCTGTATAATTTGATGACAACTGGTCTGTGTAATCCACTTTAAATGATCAATTCTTTAGGAAACCTTACTTGAATAAATCTAGGCTTTTTAGCCCATGTAAGATTATCTCAGTGATATGCATATTATTACTCCAAACTGAACTCATGCAACTATTTGTTGAAGTGTGAATTTATGTTGTTCCTTATTTCATAACCGTATGTATTAATTTGAACAACTCCAACCAACTGTGACAGTTCTCAGTGTCACTTAAAGCTCCACATTTCCTCCCTCTTTATATACCTGGATAGTCAGGCTATCAAATGTCCAAATTAATCACGGCATGTAGTCACTGCCAATTTCACCCCAAAAGTGTCATAGCTCTGCTCTCTGTCAGCTCCTCTGTCATGCTGCACACTC